TCACTAACAGCATTATTGATAATAGCTAAAAAGTAGGAACAACCCAAATTTCTGTCAGTTGATGAATAGAAAAAATGTGGCATATTCAGCCCCAGCCGGGTGGCTCCGTTGGTTGGAGCGTCATCCTATACACCAAAAGGTTGTAGGTTCAATTCCCATCAGGGCACATACCTAGATTGTGGGTTCCATCCCTGGCTGGGGCGTGTACAGGAGGCAACTGATCAATGTTTTTCTCTCTCTCTCTCAAATCAATAAACATATCACCAGGTGAGGATTAAAAAATGTGGTATATCCATATAATGAAATATTATTTGGCCATAAAAAGAAATGAAGTTTTGATATGTGCTACAACAAGCATGTCAAACTCGTGGCTCGTGGTCCACATGCGGCCCAACCAATATAACTGTATGTAAGAAACATTTCAATAAAAATTTTGTGCCGAAACCGGTTTGGCTCAGTGGATAGAGCGTTGGCCTGCAGACTGAAAGGTCCCAGGTTCGATTCCGGTCAAGGGCATGTACTTGGGTTGCGGGCACATCCCCGGTAGGAGGTGTGCAGGAGGCAGCTGATTGATGTTTCTAACTCTCTATCTCTCTCCCTTCCTCTCTGTAAAAAATCAATAAAATATATATAAAAAAATTTTGTAACTTCATTTTTACAATAACTTGTTATACATAATTACCAATAACAAATTAAAATGTCCGCTAATGACTGATTACTATAATTGTGTTGCATTCATTTCCCTTACGCACCTTACACGCAGGTACACCATTTCTCTCTACTAACACTAGCAGTGAATATTTTAGCAGCTGATTGCTACCTCATTAGTCTTGGACTGACTTGTTTGGTGTGCACAACAGGAAATATTTCGCTTTTGGAGAACAAGAATAATACATTTATTTGCATTACACTTATTAATTTGTGCAGTAATTCAGTGTCTGGTAAGTTAATGTTCAAGAAAAAAATATTAATTTTTATTAAAATGTTCTATTATTTTATGTTAATGATGACTCATTTATTTCAGCCCTTCATATTCTGCATGTCTCTATTGAAATAAACCTATGTTCCTATGAAAAATTGAAAGCTTTTGTTTCTTTGGTGGCCCGTCTTTAACACTTGGATATATGGACACGGTTGTGCTACAAATATGGATAGATTCTTGAAAAACATTATGTTTAAGGAGAAGAAGGCTAGCCACTAAACCCCACCATATATTATTATTTAATTTATATAAAATATCCAGAACAGGCCCTGACTTGGTTTGGCTCAGTGGATAGAGCGTTGGCCTGCGGACTCAAGGGTCCCAGGTTTGATTCCGGTCAAGGGCATATACCTTGGTTGCGGGCACATACCCGGTAGGGAGTGTGCAGGGAGGCAGCTGATCCATGTTTCTCTCTCATCGATGTTTCTAACTCTCTATCCCTCTCCTTACCTCTCTGTAAAAAATCAATAAAATACATTAAAAAAAAATATCCAGAACAGGCAAATCCCTAGACACCAAAATAATCAGTGGTGGGAAGGGGCTGAGGGGGGCGGGGGGCGGGCAGAGGGAATGGAGAGTGACCGTCAATGGTTACAGAGCTTCTTTGTGAGGTGGTGAAAAATGTTTGGGAATTAGATAGTGGTGATCAATGCATTTTATTGTTATTATGGGATTTAAAAAAATATATAAATCCCAGTTAGGGCTATTATGGGATTTTTTAAGTTAGGAGACAGGTCAGGCTATTCCATAATAACAATGTATTTAGTGTATTTTGTGACTGTACTAAAACCACTGAATTACAAACTTTGAAATGGTGAACTTTACTGTATGTGAATTATATTTCAATACAACTGTTATCTCAAAAAAAGTCATTAGAAAATAAGAAGTCTGACAAGTGAAAGGGATAGAACAAAAGAATGTCCAAAACCAGACCCGACAGCAAAGAGGTGCCTAGTGTGTGATAGCGCCTTTCAGAGCCACGGGGGGAGGACGGAATCATTTCACCCCAAAACCGACCACCCAGAAACAGTGAACGAAAATGGCTTCCCCTCTCTGTGCTTCAGTTTCCTCATCTCCCACTCTGACATGATCACAGCTACTCAGACAGAGATTGGGGATATTCAACGACTAAAGCGACTGCCTGGTGCCTGGCGCATGGGAAGCCCTCAGAAAAACAGTTGCTGCCTTCACAACAGGCCCAGAATGGAGAACCACAGCATCTTAGCGTGACCCACGGGGGCAGCTCCACGGAATCCTGGAGTCTCAGGATGTTAGAACGGGAGAATCTTAGAATAATACATGCGTAGAATCCTGGAATCATAGAGCCACTGAATTGTAGGCATCTGCGAGCCAGAAGGACCTCGGAGACCATCTGTCCCGTGATTTGCAAGTCTGGAGATTTTAAACTAACAGTAACAACAACAACAACAACAACAACAGCAACAACAGCAATAACCATGGCAGCAGCCGCAGCAGCTAATGGTGTTTACCATGTGCTACGCCCTTTTCTAAACTTTCATACAGCAACTTACTTAATCCTGGCAACAACCCAACAAGGTATGTACTATTATTATCATCACTTTATACGGATTGGAAAATAAAGGCACAGAGAGGTTCAGTAACTTACTCAAGGTTACAGGTACCAGATAGTGAACAATAGAGCTAGGATCTGATCCCAGGCCAGAGTCCACATTCAGATTCCAAGGCCTTAGCCCCAGAAATTCTGGGTCAGGGTGGGGACCCTGGAGTATATATTGTAAGCTACCTAGATAATTCAGATACTAGCCAAGGCTGAGCATCACCGGTTTAGCAAAACTGGTGGCAAACTGGTGGTCCTTAGGCCATAGCCAGCCTATAGCCACACAGTGTTTATATATATATATATATATATATATATATATATATATATATATATATATACTGATTTCAGAGAGGAAGGGAGACAGAAACATCAATGATGAGAGAGAATCATTGATCAGCTGCCTCCTGCACGCCCCCTACTGGGGATAGAGCCTGCAACCAGGCATGTGCCCTTGACCGGAATCAAACCCGGGACCCTTCAGTCCGCAGGCGGGTGCTCTATCCACTGAGCAAAATCAGCTAGGGCACCACACAGTGCTTTAAAATTGAAGCTGTCCTTTAAAAATCAGTTGATTTCAAATATTTCTGGCTGCTTTTGAAAAATTTGGAATATGTGGCAACCCTATGTCCACATTCCCAAAGGGCAAATATCAAGTGTAGTTGAGCAGCAGCTGCCCCCTTAAAGGGTGGTATTCTATCTCTATGATGAAGCCTTGGTCCTCAATCCTTCACGTTCCCTTTCTGAATCCTGGAGGCATTTCCATTAATAATCCCTGGTTTGGCCCAGCTCCCACACGGTAAAGAAAGGGAAACTGAGGCTTATAGAAAGGAAGAAGACCCAGAGTAAGTAATTCAGCAAGTCCAAGGAAAAAGGGAACAGCCAGACTTGTCTCCTGACTAAAAAATCCCATAATAACAATAACAACAGCTAACATTTTTTCGGAGAACTTTCGATGCATTAGGCATACATGCTAAGTGATTTTCAAACATCAGTGAACATGAACTACCACCTTAAGCGGGTACTATAATAAAGCCCATTGTATAGATGGGAAACTGAGGCACAGAGAAATCAAGTCACTTGCTCAAGGTCACATAGGCCAGAAGTATCAGAGTAAGATTTAACTCAACATCGGACTCCAGGGCCTGAGCCTTCAGTCATTATCCCCCTCATTCTATGGAGTCCTGGTGTAATAAGGCAGAGGGAAAATCCTGCTTCTATAAACCTTGGACTCCACGATCTCAGAGTTCCTGTGGATTAGGGGGTGGGGGTGGGAGGCTCAGGCACAGACGGTGCTGACCCCATTCCCCCTGCAACATGAACAAACTCTTGGTGAACCCAGGGTCCCTTGTGGCAGCGACCAAGGTGGAGGGAAGAGGCAATACCCTCGCTTTCCTGCAAACTGTGGGTCAGCTGCTGGTGGGAGAGGCCGGCAGGGCGAAGGGAGCGGTGGCGGATTCAGCACCAAGGACAGCGACCGCGCCGCAAGCCCCGCCGTCCTTTTTTGGGGGACGCTCAGCTGGGCAGCATTCTTCCAAGGCTCTCCCACCACCGTTTCCCCCACGAGCTTGGGGAAACGCGGTCCCCCACCTCAAGCAACAAGAATGACCAAGACTTCCAGATGCCTTTTGCCAAGGCCCTCCATTCGTTTCTAGGCAGACATTCAGGAACCCTGTCCGCCGCCCAGGGTTTCCCGCCCCTCTGACACCTCGGGTGCAGGGCGATGGGGAGCGGGAGCGGGGAGAGAGAACGGACATGCGCAGCTCGCCCCGCGCTCCCCTCCGCCTGGGTCCCTGCGCCCAGGACGCCGCCGCCGCCGGGGGCTCCGCAGCGGCCCACCTGCCGCACCGTCGTCATGGCAACCGGGGAGGCCTGGGAAGCCATTGGTCCGCTCCCAGCCACGCCCCTGGCGGCCGCCGCTGCCCCGGAACTGAGACGGCGGAGAGACGCTGACGGCTCCGGAGGAGAGGGACCCGCCCCTCGCTCGCTAACGAAACATCCTTTCTCCAAAATGGTGGCTACCCCCGTACAATAATTCACGGAGAGAAGGAGTATGAGAGGCTCAGCGCCTCGGGAGGTGGACGGGCTGTCGCTGAGGTTACTTCCGGTGAGGACAGGAAGTGGGAGGCAGGTTGCCGGGAGAGACAATGGGATGAGATGGGGGGGCGGAGAGGATGTGGAGGGTCCCAGGAAGGAGGGGTGCGCAGGGGGTTGTGGGTCAGATTCTAAGGCCTTCGCACACTCCCTTAGTCAGGAAGTCTGGAGTCCCCAGGCGGACTCCCTAAGAGTAATAATACTAACCACGGCCGTGTATTCGATTGCCAAACATTTGATCAACATGAACCCTCCGAACCCCCATAATCATCCAGTGATGGGAGAAGGTGTCACTTCCCGAACCGCACCAGCGTTACAGAAACCCACGCTGCCCCCCGTGCTGACCTGCTTGGCTCTGTCGGGGTTCATTGTGGTTTGGGGTTGAAGGATGTTGACCACCTCAGGCTTGGTCATCGCCTGTGGGATTTCTCGGACCTTCTCGGCAATAAAGCTGTGCACGGCGTTCAAGGCCTCTGCTGTGCCCTGCACCAGGCATACTCGCTCTGTGGTTCCTGTTGAGCAAGGAAGAGACAGGCCCCGTTTAATGGCAAGAGAAGAGAAAACGGAGGACCTGAGAATGTGGGGTCACATGGGAAGCCCGTGCGAGCTGGCATGGGCTCCCGGGCCATCGCGGGCAGCTGGGAGAGTGAGTGGAATCCCTGTTTTGTAACCTGCACTTCACGGCCCTCCCCTAAAACAACCCGAGGGGATGGAAGAATGATGCTTAAGTGCTTGGCGATGCCCACAGCCGCCCTGGGCAGGGGAGACAGGGCTCAGCTGCCTCTTCCCAGTCCTTGCTGGCTCCCGGTTGCTTTGGCAACCATTCACTCACTCCCCCCCTTCCAGAAGCGGGAGAGCTCAGGCCTGCAACGGTTGCCACAGTAACTGGAACCCCCTTATCGGTCTGGCTGGCCGGGTCCTCAGCCCACCCCCAGGGGGACGAGGGATGAGGCCCTGTTGCCATGGCAACCCCTGAAAGCCTGCAGCGAGGGCCTCTGGGCTTTTGGAGAGGATGGGGAAGGGCTGGGGGATGGGGAGACAGAAGAGAGGCCTGAGTGCCTGCCTGGACCCACCAGATGGAGGGCTGAGGGGTGGGGGAGGGCACGGGTGTGGACACAGGGGAGGGCAGAGGGGGTCAAAGGCAACTCATGGGAGCGTAGGCAATGGGGGACTGGGTGCCTTTGCTGGAAATTCTCCACATATTGGCTCTGGTTCTGACCCAGGCATCATTGTGTGTGTGTGTGTGTGTGTGTGTGTGTGTGTGTGTGTGTGTGTTCATGTGCTGGGGGGCAGTAGGGAGGGAGACACACACTGGGTGACACTGTGAGAGCAGTGTGAGTATATTTGTGACTCTGGTTGAGTGGCGTGTGTGCGCACACATGCGTGTGTTCACTTGGGGGCAGGACTGGTTAAATGATCTTTATCTGCAGATGTGTGTATAAGAGAAAGAGCAAGAGAGATGAGAGATAAACGGACTGCATGACATAGTGATTCCAGAAAAGGAGTGTGTGTGTACTCTTGTATGTGAGAAAGTCGCTGTGATGTTCAAGGTTAAGCATACTGTGAATTTGAAAGAAACAAAGAATCTCAGGAAGCAGCACTGCGGCTATCCAATGAGTGCGTACCACTGTACCTGTATGACAGTGTGTGTGTTTGCCTATATGTGTGTACAGGTGTGTAAGGGAAAGAGACAGCTAGACACCCTAGGTGTTCAAAACACTATCTGAGTGACGGGTACGTGGTATGAATGTATAGGCGTGTGACAGTGTGTATAGGATACAGACAAGACTATGACTGATGTGTGGGTAAACACAAGAAAGAGACCTACAGGCAGACCCAGGTGTCAGGATGTAAGACCGTGTGGAGGACTGGTGTGTTTGTGTGTGTGTCGAGTGTCTGTATGACAGCCAAAGAAGGCTCTGCTATGAAGGGGCTGGTCTGAGGATGTGGGTGTCTGGGTGAGCTGGGCCTGTTCGGTGTGTGGGGCTGTGTGTGTCTCTCCCTGGTGGGACTCCGTCTGTAGGACCAGTTAGCTCCCTGGTTCTGTAAAAAGTCTTGAGTGTGTGCCAGGCTTCACGTGACTGCCTGTCTGGGACACTGGGGCGCGTGTCCAGCGTCCTGGGGGTGTTCTCACGCAGCATGCTGGTGCTACTGCTCTGACCCCTTGCTTGCCACCTTGCAGCCTCGCAGGCCAGTCTTGCCCTGTGCGGGTGTCCCTGTCTTGGGTCACTTGTGCAGTTGACATCCTCCATCTCCTTTGGGCCGCTGTTCCTCACTCTGACTCCCCCCCCACCCCACCCCAGAACAATGGCTTGGTCTGAGCCAAGGGTGAGTCAGCGCGCAGGCTGCCTCCGTCTGGGTGTAAATAGGAAAGGGTGTGGGTCAGGGTGGGAACTGGGGGGATTCAGGGAGGCCCCAGGGAGAGCCTGGATGAAGTGGCCGGGTTCTCCGTCACTGCGGGGTTTCTCTCCGGCTCAGAGAGTCTGTGATCTCCCCTCCCCTGGTGGCTCTTAACCCGGGTCCGCAGGGCTTTTACGGGGCCCAGTTAAACGCGGCGAGACTGTCCAATAATAACAGCTGGTGCTTACATAACACCCGGCACCAGGCGCCGTTCTAAGCGCTTTATATATATTTGTTCACTTTCATATATAAGACAGGCGACGTTATTATTCCTGACTTACTGCTAAGGGCACTGAGGCACAGAGGAGCTTTGGGGTTTGTCCACTGTTCGCTCAGCCCGGAGTGAAAGATCAGGGTGGTTTCTGCTCAGAGTCT